AACAATGTAAAATACATTCCTACAATTTCTCAATTTCATAACTTGAGTTGGAATTCCAATTATATTTATTTAGTTGGAATTGAATTTCTATTAAAATTTTGGTTGAAATTTGAACACTCAAATAATATCTTTTTTTTCTGTTGTAAATATTAATTTGTGGACATTACCTAGATATAAGATTTGTAGGTATGGGCCAGGAGCCCATTAGGTCTTTAGTCATGTACATTGTATTCCCTTATATATAGGGCTCAAGTGAATGAATAAGATGAGGGTTTTAACGGCGTATCTCTTCTTTCTTATTCTTCTCTAATCCTTTCTTTGTTTTTCTATCTATCTTACACATGGATCTTACATATTGTCAATATATATTACAACACGTTATCAGCACGAGTACTCTACCATCTAAGCGAACGGCGGCAACATAAAGATGAACGGACAATCAAGGTAACATTCAAGAATAGATGGATGCCCTAGAAAATAATCGTGTCTTTTCTGTCAAGGTAACATTCAAGATCTATTCTGTAACACCCCGCCTAATTATTTCTAGAATTTTTAAAATCAGAGTAAAATTTTTGCTTTTTATTTTCGAAAAAACTCTTAAACTTTATTTTCGAAAATACTCATACTATCTTGCGGGATGCTACTAACTTAAACTCTTTCTCATGCAGACGTAAATAAATACATGCAACCTAATCAAATCCGTTATATAAAGGTACCACGGAGATAAAGGCATTATACATGCATAAGTCTGATAATCTCATAATACATACTAAGTCTGGAATGTGCGGAAGCTGAAACATAATAAGTCTACGCATAGTAATAATAGTACATGTTCAATAAATGACATGCAAATGCGTTACAAAAAGACAGCTAATGACCACGACTGCCACTGAAATCTCACGCGCCACGCGTCGCTCCGTCACCTGAAAAACGTAGTGGGGGCGTGAGCAAAACCGCTATGCTCCGCAAAGACCAGTACTTAATTATGCAACATCGTTAATAACAATATCATGACTTTAAGTGTATAAGAAATGATCTGAACTGAAACTGTAACTGGGGCATCTGGTGGTCATAAAGACCCTGGGGCTTAAAAGCCAATCATGTGCACACTCCGGGGGATCATTAAGGCCAATTAAGGCCTCCCTCAGAATCACGGAGGATCATTAAGGCCCGCCACGGCCTCCCTCATGATGATCTAACTATTTCTCATACATACCTCGGACATGGTACGGAAATTAAAGATGAAGTATAACCAGTACGTGACCCCCACCTGATAACTGCTACTGCTAGGCAAGTGCTGACTCACTGGTAGCTGTCGGAGGCTCGACTCTCCTTAAGCTACATAAATATTCGAGCAAAATGTACTAAGTACTAAGCTCAAATAAAAACTTGATTCTTATTATTAATAAATCTTACTCGGTTCTCCCGCTCGATTAAAATATCATTTAATCTGGATTTAGATGCTTTGAGCTGTTCTGAAAAGATTTGCTGACTTTAAGGCATTCTAGAGTTCTCTGAAATATTTCTAAGTCTGGAC